GTAATGCATGTAATGCATGTAATGTATGTAATGTATGTAATGTATGTAATGTATGTAATGTATGTAATGTAGTGTATGTACATGTGTATGTAAGCTGGTAGGTAGGTAAGTACCTAGCTAGCTCGCTCGCTCGGTAGGTAGGTAGGTAGGTAGGTAGGTAGGTAGGAAGGCAGGCAGGCAGGCAGGCAGGTAGACAGGTAGGTAAGTCGGTACGTGAAGTGTAATCAGGCAGGTCGGTAGGAGGTAAGTAGGTGGGTCAGTAGGTCGGTAAGTAGGTAGGGAGGCAGGGAGGCAGGCAGGCAGGCAGGCAGGCAGAGCAGGGGGGCAGGCAGGCAGGCAGGCAGGCAGGTATGTGTGCTTGCATGCATGCGTGTACGCATGCATAACTAATATGTATATATATATACATATACATACACACATACACACATACATACATACATACATACATACATACATACATACAAACATATAAATAAGTAAAAACATATATATATATATAGACATAAGGTAGCTATGTGCAGGTGTCTACTTGCGAGCTAGTCTTGCCATATGTAAGTACATTCCTTAAGTCTTTGGCCGTTATATGTGTCCTAATTTTGTAATATGTTGTGTACAAGGCTTCAACCGTGCTTTGCGCACGCGGTCTATAGATTTACTAGCCTAACTGACCATCATCGGTGGCCAAGCCGTAGAACAAGCCTCAATGCATATTAGCCCCTCCTAGTTACTCGACTTCTTACTCCTAAAGCTGGCAACGGTGCGCATTCTTGATGCCAGACATCCTGGCACTTGCTGCGGAATGAATATGCGCAAGCGTATGAGACACTCACTCCGAGCCGCACCCTCTCAATGCTCCCAGCTGAAAGCCGCCGTGATTGTCATGGGTACTACGCACCCATCCTTGCACCTGACGGACTACGAACCCATCCTTGCACCTGATGGATGCGCCAGATATGCGACCGTTCTCGTCATCAACTTCTGCAATGGTAGATCTAGTCCTGCAGGAATGCTGCAGCTTGCGCAGATCCCTGCTCTGCAGCTCGCTGCATCCACATCATGCCGAGCTCTACATCGGCCACTACGCCGTCACCAGTGAGATAGCAAACGGCCATGTCGTACTGAGCTCCACTGTTGCCCTGCTCAGCTGCTCTGGTGTACCAGTCTATGGCCAAAGCCATGTCCTTCTCAACCCCAATGCCACGGTGGTAGCAGCCCGCCAGCTGATACTCGGCAACCTCGAGGTCCTGAAGTGCAGCTGCTCGGAACTGTATAAACGCAAAGAAATCCTCGCGGGGCACGCCGAGCCCTTTGCTGTGGCACAGCCCGAGCTCAAACTGCGCTCTGCTGTGACCCCTGCTTGCGGCCTTCTTCAGCCAACGCGCGGCTTTGGCAGCGTCGACTTTCTTCACCCCCTCTCCATGAAGATGGCAAAGAGCTACTTGGAATTGTGCTTCGGGATGGCCTTGATTCCCAGCCCTTGTAGACCACTTCCGAGCCATCCCTAGATCTTGTGCCACCCCTCTGCCTTGCTTGTAGCAAAGGCCTACGCTGAACTGTGCTTTTGCCAAGCCCTGTTCGGCTGCCAAAGTGTACCAGTGCACAGCCCTCTCCTCGTCCCTCACTCCGAGCAGCCCCGTAGCGCAGGAGGCCCCAAGCTCAAACTGAGCATCCGCGGAGCCCTGCTCAGCGTCGCGCTCCAGAGCTTCAGGAGGGCTTGGTGCCTCCGTGCTGAGGTGCTCAGGATTCTGCTGTTGAAGATTGGCAGGGCATGTGGTTGCTGACTCAACTTGATGTGGCCGACTGCAGGGATCGCAGGCATCGCTCACACGGCAGCGTTTGCTTCGTGCCGCGAGCCACCTGGCCCATCCACTCGTCGCGGTCGTCCGGGCGCTGATGTGGCTTTCCGATTGCACCGACGGCTCTGAATCAGCAGCTTGCAATGACCAGATCCGCTGAGCCAGTGATAAGTTGGGGTTGGGACCTGCCAGCGGGCCCTGGGACAAGACCTGGGCGTTGAAGTAACCAGAGCCCGACAAGTCTAGTGTTTCTTCTTCCAGGAAACTAAGACCCCGAATGACTCATATATATATATACATATATGTAAATAACTAGATAAATGTAAATATAAATATGTATGTATATATATATATATCAGGAGCCCAGGGGCCCTTTGAATTAGCTCCTCAGACTTGCTGCGAAGCGCCTGCTCTGCATTGCTCGACAACCTGGGTTCTTGTTAAGGCACGTAATCGAAGCTAACATCCTAGGGGATCTAGAGTTCATAAAGGGGGCTTCCTGATTATGGCACTTCAAACTTTAAGTTCCTTAACCCTAAACCCTTCTTGAACCCCCTAAAACCAGAACCCGTATATAGAACCCTTCTGGAACCTCTATGGAACCCTCAAAAAGGGACCCAGCAACTTCTCTGCAAGAACGAAGTCGTCCAAGGTTGTCGAAAGCCTGAGCTGCGGCCCAGCGCGCCTTCGGGGGCTTTAGGGTTTAGGGGTCTAGGTGTCTAGGGCTTAGCTCTGAAGGCTTTTTGGGGCTTCGGGTTCGGGGTTTAAGCTTTCGGGGTTTGGGAGCTAGGGGTTTAGGCTTAAGGTTTAGGCATTTAGGCAGTTGAGGCTGTGTGGGTCTGGGTTTATGAGCTGAAGGCTTTTGTAATTTAGGAGCCCGTTTGGTCATCCAGATGGAACAGTACGAAAACCCCGAAGCCATAAACCCCAAGCCCTAAACCCTCAACCTTAAACCCTAAGGCCTAAACCCTCAGCCGTAAACCCTCAACCCTAACCAAACCCTCAACCCTAAACTCTAAACCCCTGAATCCCTATAGAACCCTATAGAACCCTATAGAACCCTATAGAACCTGAAACCCTAAACCGTAAACCTTAAGCCCGAAGCTGGAGTACCTCGCAAGGTCAGCGGCCTTCCGCCCTTTGCGACGAAGGCTTGGCATGGCCGGAGATTGTCCGCTTTAGGGCTTTAGGGGCGAGGGTTTAGGGCTTTTTCAACGGGCAGAACTGGGCTGATCGCGCAAGCTCAATTCACATGCAGCAGCAAAAGTGCGCTTACCGACACGCTGCTTGTCCAAAAGCGAAAACGGAAAACTTAAACAGACAGGGCCTCACCCCTCGACTTCTGGACGAAGTGTTGCCCACCATGGGGCAGGTCCTGCCGTCTGCACGCATGGTCGCCAGGCGTGCTGGTAAGGCTCAGGCGGCGCTGGTGACCCGCCTATATCGCCCTGGTCGTAGGTACGCCGGCAGGTCTCCGCTTTGCGAAGATGCTCGGC